CGGCCCATTGGAAGTTGTACTTGGCCTCAGTGGACTCGAAGGATTCCTCAGAGGAGGCCTGGACAAGCACAACAGATTATTTGGATGAACAAGGTATTAGCAAATTTACGTTGCCGATCACATTTGCAGCCTCAACTAGTCTTTTCTCCACAAGGACTGACGTTGATATAGTAGAGAATATATAATTCAGGTGTTAAAACATCCAGTGTAAGCATTCGGCTTCACTCACCCTGGGGGCGCGGTAGGCATACGTTTCGCGGCTGTCTGCAGCGACGATGGCTGCCAGACCGAGGAGGATGAGGACCTAGAAAATGTAATAAAGGGAATACAAAAAACGTCGCAAATGTCTCACCAGTTTGAACATTCATATATTATTTTTAGTCATGTTGAATGTAAGCTAGAGAGAGCAAGTTCTACCTTGGTGTTCATGATTGTAGTTTCAGGTTGAACTGACTACCGATCCTCTATTTGCTGACCATTATATACCCGGGGAGGCGCGGCCATGACCTTGAGGAACCACAAAATAGGACCAACTTTTTATATGGTTGTTGTAAGAGCAGCCACATTCGTGGATATGGATTGCGAAAGTAAACTACTTCTTTTGATACTTCATTGTTGTCAACAATTGGAAGCTGGAAACTTTCTATTGTTAATGGGTCTGTATGAGTGTGCGAGTGCTTAATTATGTCTTTGGATTTGTGCATAAGTGGCTAGCAGAGAAACGTGCGCGTTTTTTTTTCTTTCTTTCTTTCTTTCTTTCTTTCTTTTTTCTTTTTTCTTTTGTGAGCGTGTCGGAGCATTTACATACATGTGTGGTTATTTGAATATAAGTTTGAAAATAATGTTAATGTTAAGTGATGATATATATATATATATATATATATATATATATATATATATATATATATATATATATATTATATATATATATATATATATATATTATATATATTGTATTTCAGATACATATATGTATATATATATATATATATATATATATATATATATATATATATATATATATATATATATATATGTATATGTATGTATATATATATGTATGTATGTATGTATGTATATATATATATATATATATATAATATATATATATATATATATATATATATATATATATATATATATATATATATATACCTATCGGACAAGATGAAAATTTTACAATATTTTTTATTAGAAAAAAGTATAAGATATGGTAATGGGGAAAGTGATAACAATGCTGAGAATGTTAATAAGGATACTTTTTTCATTATTATTAATGTTGTTATTATCGTTGTTCTTGAAATTACGATGCTGTTAATTGTGATAATAACAAGAATAAGAATATTAGTAATGGCACAAAAATAGTTGTTGTGACAATAATAAAAATAGCGGTGACAATTAATTACTATTAAAATTTATATTTTCATTATTTCATTATTATTTTTTATCATTATTATTACTATTATCATTATCATTGTCAAAAATGTTAGCATGCTAATTATTATTGTTCGTATATCATAATACTAATGCTTATTACCATAATCATTAATCTTATTATTATTATTCGTACTGTCATAATTATCATTTTATTATATATAATTTATCAACAATATCAATAATAGAAATAATAATTGAATAAATGTAATTACAATAATAAGGATGAAAATTCTTATGATTCAAGTAATATTATAAATAATAGTATTATTGATCGGACCAATAGTAAAGGAAAAACTATAATGATGAAAATGAAAATAGTAGTAATAATAAAAAAAAAATTATAGTCATAAGATAAGTATGATGATAATAATAACAAAAAAGTAAAAAAAATAATAAGAAAAGAATAATAATAGCACTAATGATAACAATAATGATAAATAATGAAAATAATCAAAAATTGTAATGATAATCAAGATAATGGTGATGATAATCCTCATCATCATATAATATTAATATTATCAGTAACCGTAATAATAATGATAATTATAATGATAAATGATATTGAAAAAAACAATAATAGATAATATTGGTAATAATATTAATACCACTAATAATAATATATGAATAATAACAATGATATTAATAATGATAACGTGAATAATCAAAGCAGTTATCATTATTTACATTATTTTTATTATCATTATTCTTATCATGATCTTTTTATTTTTATCATCGTTATCATTATCATTTTAATGATAATAATAATCTTTGCAATGATAGTAACAATAATGAAAAAATAAAGAATAATTAAAAGAAATAATTATAATGATAATTATTATAATGATAAAAATAACATTAATAATAATAATAATGATAATAACAATAATGGCAATAATAATAATGTTGATAGTAATAATGATAATAAATAATGATAATAATAATAATGGCAATAACAACAACCTTAATACTAATCACTAAAATTACATTAATATTTATGTTTATGATAAGGATAATAATAATGATAATAATAAAGAAAATGGTAGGAAGAATAATAATTTTCATATGAATAATAATAATCATAATAACAATAATAATAATGACATTAATAATAATAATAATAATAATAATAAGAATAAGAATAAGAATAAGAATAATGATAATAATAATGACAATAGCTACGACCATCATAAAAAAAATAATCATAATAACACTTATTTTTCAAATGCTGATAGCAATACTGATACATCATAATTATTATCATTTTCAAAATCCTCATCAATCTTCATTCCTATTATCAATATAGTCATCATTATCATTATCGTTATCGTTGTTAATATCACTATCATTATCGTTGTTATCATAATTATAAGCATCATCATTATGACTACTATGATTACCACTTTCATTATTATATATTATATTTTCTTGTTATCATCATTATTATTTATATTTCTTGTTATCATCATTATTATTATATTTCTTGTTTATCATCATTATCATTATATTCTTGTTATCATCATTATTATTATATTTCTTGTTATCATCATTATTATTACATGTTCATCATTGTTATCATTTTCATTACTATCACTATTATCAGTACTATTACTGTTATCATTATTATTACCATTTCAATTTTCATTCGCATCATTATCATTGATAACATATCACTCAGTACATCAATTTAGTCATTATTATTATCATTTAAAATATTTTTTCCTTATCAATATTATCATTATATGCTGTAGTTATTGTTATTCTTGTTGCCTTTGCTGTTATTATCATTATCATTATCATTACTATCGTTATTATTGTTATTACTAATACCAAAACTGATAGTGATACTACCACTACTACTACTACTATCATTATTAGTGTTTTTATTATTATTGTCATTATCCGTAGTATAGTTACAATTAGTTTTTACTATAATTATCATTGATTTTGTTATCAATCTTATTACAATTATCGTTAATATTACCTTTCCTCATTATCTTCAATATAATTATCCTAATTACCATTATTATCATTATTTTTATTGCTATTATTATTATTGTCATTTGTATTATTGTTACTGTTTTTTTTTTATCATTACTACTAATACTACATTTTTTTTACTATTACTATTATATCATCATAATAAATATTTTCATGATTGGTATTATCATTATTGTCACAGCTATCACTTTTATTAATATAATTATACGTTTTTCATTGACATTGCCATTGTCATTATAATTATCATTTTCTTTGGCATTATAATCATTATCATTAGTATTATTGATAGCATCATCAATAATATCATTATTAGTTTTCTGCTATTATAAATATAATAATCAATTATCATTATCATCGCTACTACCATTATTGTTTTTATTTTGTATTGTTTTTTGCTGTTTCTTTATTCCTTTATCTTTTAATTGTTGTTATCATCACCATGGTCATCAATGTTATTATTGTAGTAATAATAAAAATAATATAGGTCAAGTGGACATTTTCTCACTTGATATCGAGTCCCATCTTATTTTGCTAAACTTTATTCCATTGTATTATCAGATGATAATAATCAGCAACTGAATTCACTAGAGTACTTTAATATATAATGGCTTGGCCATGAACGAATAAGGAAATTCGACCCATTTGAAAGATGTCACAGTAGGTGGTTCGCAGATGTTTCTTTTTCTTTTTCTTCTTTTTCCTTTATTGTGTAGCATAATTTGTATGATTTCTCCATATCAGTTTTTTTTTTTTCGAAAGTTGGTGCAGTTAAATAGGCTAAAGTGAAGCAGAAGAGTGTAATCCTATCATTTTGGTTTACATAGTTAATAGTCCTATGAGTGTACAGGAGAACGAATTAACGAATAGATTAGAGAATGGAAAGAAAAAAGAAAAGAAAAAAAACAGTAAGAGAAAGAGAAAAAGAATGGAAATGAAAGGGTGAGAGCAAAAAAAAACAATGATAGTGAATAAACAAATGAATAAGAGTGATGGGAAACACAGACGGAGACAAAGCATCACTAAATGTTTAAGAGAATAAGGAAGAATAGAAAAAGAGTAGAAGGTTGCGGACGAGAAGAGTAAGGGATACACGCAAAGAAACAGAACACCTGCATGACGTCTTTCAGGCTCCTCCTGGCTTCCAAATTTTTTTTTTTTTTTTTTTTTTTTTTTTTTTTTTTTTTTTTTTTTTTTTTACGTGTCGGCTACACTTCAGGAGCGGATACCGTCAAAATAACATTTGTATAACATTTGCCGAGTAGATAGATCATATGATACCATAGATTAAGTTGTAAAAAAAAAAAAAAAAAAAAAAAAAAAGTAAATAAATAAATGGAATCTGTTTCTCTGTTTTGGATTTAACATCAAACTGTCTGGGTGACTGAACCTGCAGAACCTATCAATATTATGTGGAATACTTTAGTGGATATTATCAATGGATTGAGAGAATGACATCAGAAATATGTGATATCCATGGCATTTCGATGAGATATGAAACCTTTTTTGTGGATGAAATGAATTCGTCATGAAATATTACAAAAGGAGCGTTTAGCCATTGGTATCCA